TTTTACAGATTGAGATAGTCAATTAGTGATTATAAGGGCACAGATTGACATGCATAACGACAAGTAACAATATATTCATCATATACATAATACCATTATGCAATTGTTTTCAAATGAGATTATTTCTATAAACTAAATAAATTCAAAAGAAAATCCAACAGATTCGCTTACCAAAAGTTTAGCCCCATTCCTCTCAACATATTGAGAGAAATGGAGCTAAAGCCTATGATTTAAGAGTCACCATAATGAAAACCCAACCTAGTTGACTGGAGATCTCAATATCTAGGTTCAAATGGACAACCAAATTGTGTGTGATTTAAGAGAAACACTAAGGAGATAAACTCTCCTACTTATTATTATGATAAACTAGTGTTGCTTACAACAAACATTAGGATAAGCTATGTGTTTAATGACTCTTATACCTTGGAAATCAAAGTGGGATATAGCATGATGTTCTTAACAATAGTCAAATATATGGGTGTGAAGGGATTGCTTCTATGAGTATTGTAAGACTGGATTCTCAAAAGGATTCATGAAAACCAAGAGTTAACTATTTATACAACATCCAACTATTAACTATTTATACAACATCCAACCATAAGAGCATCTTAAATAATCATTAAATAATAAAAATTATTCATCAATTAAATAGATAACTAAACAAATCCTCCAAATCAACATAATTGAACCCTTCTTGTTTCTTCCAAACTCAAAGTAATCATTCTTTCACCATTAACTAAAAACAAAATAAACCATCCACCATTTAAACCATCATTTAAAAATCAAAACTAAATAAAGAATCTCTAAGCCTTCGGATCTGTCCCACATTCTACTTACTCACCTAGCCTCAGATCTTCTTCAGATTCTAAATCTAGAAAATGTTATAACGTAGAATGAGCAAAAAGTCCAGTAGAGAAACATTCTCAAACCTAACAAAGTTTTGAAAACTTAAAATAGGTAACTCTTACTTTGCAAAAAATATATAAGGATTTGAGTAACAATTGATAAGATTTTAGGTTTGCGTTGAACACAACAAAATTCATGAATAAATAAGATCAACTCACAAGTCACATATATCAACACAATCAACATATATCTCATGTAAATTTGTAGGTTGGCTAACATGAATCCACACATTGAGAATATACTGACTCATACACACACACCCAATCAACACTACAATCCCCGCAAGGATGACTCATTTTCAAGAAATGCGTATACCGACGCATCGACAGTAACTTCATAGGAATAGTATATTAGCCCTTCGCCCTGATCACCATGAGTAAATAGTGGTTTATTCCTTTCAAGGAACTAACCCACTACTAGTGTTAAGAAACCTTCAAACACATCAAGGTAAGAAACTCATCTAACCCTCTACAATACCCAATCAACTGCAATCCATATTAATCACACCCTCCATACAAGAGATACTTTCCACAGTTTTTCTATAAAATCCAACAACAATCAAGAATCATGATTCCATAACCATTCAAAAGGAACAACTCAAGAAAACGTGCAAGAGATCTTTAATAAACATATTTACATGATTAGAATCAAAACTAGGGTTTTAGAAATCAAGAACATGCAAGTATTGATATAAAGCATGGATACGTTAGGTTATAACTCAAGAACTAGGGTTTTTCGATAAAGAACGGATGAATATTCAATAAAAATAATTTATACTCCGGAAACAATTCACATAGTTGAAAAGAATCCCCAATAATTGTCTATCTAACATATATGTAAGGATTGAAAGCATAAAAGTAATAATCCTAACCTCAATCTTGAATTTGAGAAAAAAAATATACTACCTTAATCTCCTTGAATCTTGATTCTAATGTATTTGATCCATTTTCTAATCGTTAATCCTTCGTAATCTTGCTCTTTTTCTTCCCTATGATGTTCTCTTGACTTCCTAGGGTTCTTAGCTGTTGAAAATAACCTAAGAAACGTCCTTAGGGTATTTATAGGATCAAAATCTGTACAATTGGCATGAGCCTGATCACTTTAAAAATCACAATATGCGTTTTAACTTCGAAATACTTTCAAACTTCTAATACACCCCATATTATCTCTCCGAAGGTTTTTCGACCTTCTGAATTCAATGGTAACCTTATTTTGATCTAAAAACATTCATAAATTTACCAAATCACCATTCTTAAGCTGAAACACTTTCGAAACTAAGTTTATCGTGGGCACGATACCTGACATACTCAATTCGATGGAATTGTTTGATCTTAAATTATCTCTCCCACATTTTTATTTGTGTAAGTATTTCATATTCACAATCAAAGTTCTGAAGCTTGACCCTAAAGTCCATACGTGCGAACTCGAACTTCACGACCAATATTTTCACAATAATTCAAACCTCTTCTCCTCATTTGAAAGTACTCTTAAAACCATTTTATCCATCTTTAAATTTTGTACAGGGTATTACAAGACCAAAATGAAAAAAACCTTGAGAACCAATTGTATTAAGAAATAGAATGTGTGAAGTCTGTCGATCTAATTTACTCAAACAGTTGAATAGTTCAAGACATCATATTAACTATTTTGTCGAAAAGTTCGATGGATTTTTACTAGAAAAAGTTCAATGCCACTAACTACCTATCTCAATGCACGATCTTTCAAAGATATACTCTCTATAGTATGTTAGCATTATCAATTGCATACATACAACTAATTTTCATTCATGTTAAATTAAAATAGTTTGTTGGGTATAAAAAACTAATTTTTGGTTGATCTTTTAACTTAAACTAAAATGGGATCCACCCAACATTTTTGAGTAAATTTTCATGGGTTCATGTTCTACTCCTTGAGAAAACTAACGTAATATATTCGTTTACTCAAGTTGAGTAAAAAATAAATGAAAAAATAGACTCCAAATTGACTCACTTATAATGTGAAAATAGAGGTTGAGACTTGTGGGATTTTACATCAATCCCACATTAGTTGGGTAAGAAAAATTTAGTGAGCACATGTAACCCAAGTTGGCTCTAAGGGTTGGGCCCCAAGGGGCACCCCTCTTTTGTGGATGGGAAAGGACTTAGATGGGCATGGTTCAAATCTAATCTTATCTTTTTTGGATAAAATTAATTTGCTAATCAGATTTTAATTTTATTACCCGTTGGAATTCAAACTCACAATGGTTCATATTTGAATTTTCCTCCGATCCAAATTTGAATTGTTTATGTCTGTTCATGAATGGTCACTTATGAGCTGCATCTAATCAATGGTGGATATTCTGAATAGTCATCTTTATATCTATAAATATGCCTAGATTCATTCTGCATTAAGAACTTGAACATTCTGTCAAAAATAGAGTAATTACATTCACAAATGTTTCATTAACATTGTCTACACCATAGAGTACAAAACAAAAATTTTGGTTCACTATGCATACAGATTGCAGTACTTCTATGTGCATGATCATTATATCTTGTAAGGTAGATGCTCAAAAATCCCTAAGCGCCGAAGTAGAGGCGATATCTGACTTAAAGGCATAGTATCAAATATTAGTCTTAATCAAATTCATAGACTGTTCATGTTCGATAATGGGGTCAATTTTTTGTGTTATTGTTTTTGTTCTTACTTGCATGATCTACATCATAATTTTCAATAAGTAAAATGCATATATGATATCATCATCCCAACAATCTGAACTCTGGAATTCTAGATTCTAATACTAAATGTTTTAAAAGGTTAAGCTATTAGAGAATGGGTAATATTAAATATTTATCTCAAATTACATAGGAGAAAAGAGGAAGTAAGAATAGTGTAAAAGTGTCAGAATATTGTGATTGTTAAAATTTTAAAAAATTGAAATGTGAGATTGAAGGGCACGGCACGTAGGATAGCTGTAGTATGAAAGATCCTGAAAATAGGATCCACTTTCTTAGGACCAAAATTCTTTTTCCTCATGGAAATTGTGAGGGTCCATCATAGAAGAATATAACCCACATTGATGTGTGATTTCCAAACTTTTGCGGCACAAAGTTAGGTACACCAAACCAGATGTGATTTTTCAGTCACTCCTAGTACAATAAATAGAGTTTTTTTTTTTTGTCCGAATAAATAGAGTTCCAGTGTCCCACTATACATTTAAAATGCAAGAGTCCATGACTCGTGATGGGGTGGTTGGTTAGTTTTTTGGGCAAAATCCAGTTTATCCCTCGTGGTTTGCTCGTTTTGTGTATCACTCTCTTATGGTTCAAAAATAGCACATAGTCCCCTTGTATTTTTAAATTAAAGTGAGACCGTTATTATTTTTATCAAAATTAATAGAAATTATAACACTTGTTATATTTGTGAGTATGGATGTAAAAAATTTAAATTAGAGTTAAAAATTTAAATAAAAGTCTAAATATACCCTTGTGATTTTTTAAAAAGATATTTTCTATCTTCTTCTATATTTTACCATTATAAAAAAAAATAGATAAAACAAGAAGCAAAAACCCATCCCTCTCTCTCTTTCCTGTCGGAAAAATCAGTTCCTCTGACCCTTGCGTTGCCACTTGATAACCCACGCACCTTTTTCCCCTCACCCTTTGCGCACCCCAACCCCTTTGCCCTTCCAATAGTGAAGTGGATCGTAATGAAAAAGAAATTATTTGTGCAATAATTTGCAATGACGAAAAAATTCAGCAAAGAAAAAATATAGTTTGCCACAATAAAGAAGAAGACCATATCACAGCGAAAAAGACAATAAAGAAAGACCAGTTTGGCGAACCCAGTCGACAACGACGAAGAAGGTGCAGCGAGTTGTGCATCAAAAATTTTTAAATAAGAAATCGAAATCAAAATTGATTTAAACCTCTACTTCTCGAGATTATTCTACAATTACAAATAGTAAATAATAAATATGATCATCACATCCTCTGTTTTTACAATCTTTAATTCAACACGGTCTCACTCAATTTTTGTGAAGGAGGAAAATTTCTGATTGTTGACGGAGGTAAAACTTGAGCATTGGGTGAAGGTAATTGATGTGGCTTTGCATGATGACTGTGTATCTCTTGTGAATTTGTTTCCTTTGGTTTTTTTTTCCCCACTATTCATTTTCTATGAATTTTTCGCTTCTGTTTTTTTGTACTGATTTTTTTTAAAATCTCGAATAAAAAGTTTTACTAAATTTTTGAAAATTTGTCTTCTGGATTCCATGTAGGATGCTTGGATTAATTTTGATTTCTAGTAAAAATTGGCTTAAGATGTTGGGAAACAAAAATTGGGATTGTTGTGGCTCCTATTTGTTCTCTAAAGCTTGCTATCACGGCAAAGATGTCGACGATCTTGAGGATAAAATTGTGAATTGAGATGTACTACTGGTAGTCATATGTTATGGTGTGTTTAATGAGCAGTTGTGATTTAGTGGAGATAGCCAATGACTAGTGATTCAATCAATGGTAGTTGGAGATGTGATGACAAAGTTTATTTTTCTTTTTGTCACTATCGTTAACCGCGTTACTTTTGCTTTTTAGTCCTATAGCACAAAAAAGTTATGTACTGATTTTTGAACATGAGAGGGTAATGTGCAAAATGTCCAAACCACGCGGGGGTAAACTAGATTTTGCCCTAATTTTTTTTCTCATTGTTAAATATGGCGTTTTATATTTGTTGACTAGTTTACTCTTGTATTTCAGCAGAACGATTAAAGAGGATGGTGAATGGCATATTTTTACCTCGTAATGATTTTAAATTTTTATTTTATCCATTCAGAAATTAAGAATGTCATGCTGCACATGATTTCTTTTTCTTTTTTGTAAATATAAAATGTGTTCCACCAGTAAAACGGCTTTTTCCAGTGTCTTTGCACAACATGTCTTAAATATAAATATATGACAATTTCAATTTTTGAGAGCAAAGTGAAAATTTTATATCATTTAAATAACAAATTGCCGGAAATCTAGCTGGTAAATTTTGGTTTAAATCAACCACATGATTAAAATCAATTGATCGGCATTCGATTGCATCATCCACCTCATGATTCATCTAGAATCCTTTCTCAGACTTCAAATGTGTGAGGTGGCAAAACTTGACCCATAATCCTACTCACAACCAGATTTGGGACCCATAAATATAGAGACAGTGACCAAATGGTCTGGGGTCTATTTAAAATCATCTTTTTCTAGGTAGCTAGGTCCCATGACACTTGATATTCACACACAACATAGACCAACAACTCCATTCTCCACCGCTGAACCTGCGATCTCCATGGCTAAAGTTCTTCAAAAATCTTCTTCCCTCTTCTTCATCGTTATCTCCTTTTTCATATCCTTCGTCATATTTTCGGTCACCGGAGAAAATAGCGGTTTTGTAAAAGCCATTGATCGGAAAACACTTGGTCTCAGAAAGGAAAAGCTTAGCCATTTTCGCGTCTATTGGCATGACATCGTTAGTGGCCGGAGCCCAACATCAGTGCCAGTTACTCAGCCCTCTCTGAACTCATCAACCGCTTTCGGTTTGATGAATATGATCGATAATCCGTTAACAGAGGGCCCGGAATTGAGCTCAAAAATGGTTGGGAGGGCTCAAGGGTTTTATGCATCTGCATCACAAGAAGAGGTTGGTTTAATAATGGCAATGAACTTTGCTTTCATTGAGGGAAAGTATAATGGAAGTACAATCACGGTGCTCGGGAGGAACTCTGTTTTCAATAAGATGAGGGAGATGCCGGTGATCGGAGGGAGCGGGCTTTTCCGGTTTGCTCGTGGCTATGTTCATGCCAGAACTCATACCGTTGACCTCAAGTCTGGAGATGCCACTGTTAAGTATGATTGCTATGTGATGCATTATTGATGTTTTCTTGTATCCTTTTGAAATTATAGCTTTCGATAATGATGTTGGCCACCCATGTTGGTTACTTTATAGCTAAGTATCTTTCTTCTTAAATGTCTCATTGAAACTTTTCTAGCTAGGCATCTAGAAAATCACCAACTTTAGTTAGCAACTACCAATTTTCATTGGAAAATTTACTCTTTTACCCTCCCAACTATGCCACGTATCACATTGCCCATTTTATTTTGGACTATTGGTTTTACGCTATCCTGATTATAAAGGTCAATTACAAATTGGATAAAATCTTGTATCACTTTGCCCGTGAACTGCGCGCGCGTGTGTGTGTGTGTTGCACTTTGATTCCAAGTATAATGATATGTGGATGTTTTTCATCCAAAATGTAGCGAAGGTGGGTTTGGGACAATATGGACAGTGTGAGAAACTTTGTAGTGGAGGGGTGAAATGACATCAAAATCATAATTTAATGATGTAAATTAATATTCGTATATTTTCATTTTTTCTGGTAGGTTAAACTCACGACGTGCCTAGTCATTGCCTTTACCTCGTAATGAATTCCACTTGCTTTACTGCATATTAGAAGAAGAATATAATCTGCAAGTGACTTTGCCATATTGAGTGAGAAATGATCTTTTGGAATTTTCATCCGCATAAGATGATCCCATAGTAACTTTTGTGCCTTGAAGCAATATCGGGTATAATAGCTGTAAATAAAATAAAGTTGAAAAAATTAGGGACCAAGGAAAAACATGATAGTGAATGAACAGGGGAGGTAATTAAGTCCTCATTTCACACTGTATCTTCAACTATCACATTTATCATATTATTCCTCCAACTATCGTTATTTTTTTTCCAAATTTTTCCCTTCAAAATTTACGTTTATCACATTGCACTTCCACTTATGGGAATTGAATCACACTACCCCAATTATTTGCATTAGAAAAGTGAGTTTTATTTACTACACACTAGAACATTTTCCATCTAGAAAATGTTGGACATTTGTGTTTAGGTAATGTGAGACCTATTCTAGTATTGGAGGGGGGTTAAGTGATCAAAATCATAATTGAGAGGATCGAGTGTATTTTCCGGAAAACAATTCTACTAGCAACAAGTAACTCTAACCATTTCTCACAAATGACCTTAATAGGGCCGCTAGTACCATGGGGATGATGCTTCATCTGAGTTGCCTTATTTTGCGTGATATTCCTTCTGTCCTTCACCCAAATTTGCTATAAAATCTGTATACTAATTCCCTCTCTCAATGTGTTTTTACTGTTCTTTTCTGCTGTGTATTAGGATTGTGCAGTCTTTGATCTGTGCTCTTGTTGGAGTTATACCTCTTGACGAGCGAAAGCGGATCAAATCGACTTGCTTTCTATCCTTGCTTGCAGCCTTACCGGCTTGGATGATCCTTGTTAACAAGCTTGCCAATATACATAAAACAAGGCAACTAGAGTCCTCTAAGCACCCACACCCACTAAACTTAGGAATCCTTCAAGATGATGATTCCTAGAGAGAGAAAAATTGGAGGACAGAGAGAGTGGCAAATTTCTGTTTGTTCTTCATTGTTTTCTATATATAATACAAGAGTTTAGATGATATAAATAAATTTTATCCCAATTCCAACCTATGGGTTATCTCAACTAATGTGATAAAATTTGGACAATAGAGAAGAGCCTAAATCCGTTAGGACTCTTACTACCTAGAGGACACTCCCAAGTAGTTATCACATCTCCCACGTGTACACATAGGTTGTCTCAGTCTCCATTCATGCTTCCTCTCAATCTCCTATTGATATTTCACTCTCCTCATACATGCAATGGAGCGAGCGACCTGACGAAAAGAATAAAACGGGAGTGCTATATTAAGCTACCATCTAACTAACATAGCATATCACCAACAAGATATCGTTCATACCCTACATAACTTAAATCACACTAAATCAAGTATCCTCTATCCCTCTTCAGACTTGTCACAAAGCAATATTTGACCAAACCCATTTCATGTTTGTGTTCATGATTATCTTATGCAACTAAGCGCAATAATCGCCCGGGCAATGAACTACCAACTAGGTGTGATACAAAAGCACTGTCCCTAGAATCTCATATCAATCCATTTTGATTTGAGCACTTTCCTAGACATGTCCCATGTGACCGTATCTATCATGATCCTGGGTGACATGCTAAAGTAGTTACTTTGACTTTCGACTTCATGACATGGCTCTAGGTCTAAAGGTATAGTGTATTTTAGGGCTCACACAGTGACAAAGTGGGTATCAATCTTGTCACTTTCCTATATGGTATAGTATAATACATACAGTATGATATGTATGTTACACTGGAGCCCCCACTAAATGGGTCATGTCACTCTCAAACACCATATGTATCTGCGTCTAATTGTCACGTAGGCATCTAACCTAAACTACTCTAGGTCGGCTACTCTCCAAGCGCTTCTTGAGTGCTCACATTTGGCTTTATACAGGTTTTATATGGAATCATGGAGGCATTCCATATTCGACTTACTTAAGTCTCATCTCATTCTGAAACCGAGGTGACAACATTATCGATCAATAATGCCTATTATGTAACTCATACATTAGGCCATCATAAGCTCACTACACAAGCATCAATATGATCACTTTGTCTCATCCTACTCACTATCTTAGCGCCAAGGCGATCACTCGTGTGAGTGGGCTGATCTCAACTTGATGACATTACTACAATAATGTTTCTCATAAAAATAGTATCATTCATGCAACCACAAGAGATAAAATAGCAAATGCATGAAATATAAATATTTGTATGTCCATCATACAATCCAAAGCAAATCAAATCCTACGTAACCCCAAACTTCTAACATTAGTTTAGAAGATATCTCTAGCAATAAGTTTAGTGACAGGATCAACCACTATTCTACTAGTGGAGATATGCTTTAGAACCACTTCCCCTTGCCTAACCATGTCTCGAATGTAGTGAAATTGTATATCAATATGCTTGGGCCTGCCATGATATTTAGGATTCTTTAGATATGATAATGCAGCCATGCTATATGATCGAATCTCAACAGCCTCATCATTACGGGCCACAATCCCTAATCCCTGAATGAATCTTCTCAACTAGACTTCCTCTTGAGTTGTTGTTGAATAGGCAATGTACTCAGACTCCATAGTAGATAAGGCGATACAAGCTTGTTTCTTGCTATACCAAGAAACAACTCCTCCTCTCCAAGTGTTTACGCATTACCAAAGGTGAATTTGTGTTCATCTCTATCGCTAATCCAATTTGTTTCGGAGAATCCTCTCAATCTCAAGTCCCCACCATGATAGCATAGGACGAGATCTGTGGTACCATGAAGGTAACGAAAAATCCACTTAATAGCCTTCCAATGAACTGGTCCCAGGTTACTTTAGTAATGGCTTACCAAGCCAGCTACATAACAAATATTAAGATGAGTACACAACATCACACCATAGCATACATTAAACTCCCTAATGCACTCACAAATGGGACCCTCTTCATGATTTCCCTATCCTCATTGGATCTAGGACAATGATCAAGGCTTAAAGTTCGACCCTTCTCAATTGGGGTATCAACAAGTTTTGAATAGTGCATCTGGAACCATTCTAAGATTTTCTTGATATAGGTTTCTTGTGACAAACCAAGAAACCTTTTAGAACGATCCCTTAGGATCTTAACTCTGAGTACATAATTCGCCTCACCCATATCCTTTATCTCAAAAGCAGAGGATAGCCACTCCGTAGTGACATTGATCATCCCTATATCATTTCCAGCAAATAGAAAGCCATCCACATACAAAGATAAGATCAAAATTCCTTTCCTTGTATGTTTGACATACACACAATGGTCTCTTGTATATTTGACACATGCACAATGGTCTCTATCATAGATAAGCTAAAAGTCATAATGGCTTCAAGGAACTTGAGGTAACATTGTCTAGATGATTGTTTGAGACCACAAATGGATTGTTTAAGGAGTCACACCTTGATCTCATGCCCCTCAACTACAAATCCCAGAGGTTGATCTATATAGGTCTCTTCATCTAGTCCTCCATTGAGGAATGCAATCTTGACATCCACATCATAGAGCTCTAAATCCAAATGAGCCACTATGGCTAGAATCATACGAATATAGGCAAATCTTACCACAGGGAAAAATGCCTCTTCATAATCTATACTCTTTAGTTGGGTTTTACCCTTTTACTACAAGTCATGCTTTATATCTGTCAATTGACTCATATGCCTTACGCTTTATTTATAAGACTCATTTATTCCCTATGGTATTGCGTCCAGGTGGAAGATCAACTAACTCTCATATTTTATTTCTTATCATTGAGTCCAACTCATCCCCCATGGCAGCTAGCCATTCATCACGAGTAGGTGAAGTTAGGGCTTCCTTATAGGAAGCAGGCACATCTACATCCAATGGTGTGCACATGAAAACATCCCCTTCAATCTCAAAATGATGATGAGAATATGTCCACGTTCACTCCTCCATAACAAAGGTCCTTATGAATTACTCTCAATTGTTATGCTCCCATTTCTATTATAATGAGACTGTGTATCATCATCACCAACGGATGGTGTGACTTCCTCTTGTAACTCAAACAACTCAAGGTCCTTTCTAACTTCACCTATGTTTGGGTAGTCATAATTGAGAAATTCCACATTTTTGGACTCCAAAGGGGGAGATTGTTAGATCATGTATTTGTAATTGGTTAATTTCATGAAGTCCATTGTAAAATTTCAACCATTTCCATGGTTATGATGCTATCAATTTCAAGGTTTGTAAGCGTCATTGAAGAGAGAAGATCAAGCGTTAAAGCTACATCATTCAACTTTCATATGCACCTTTATGTTTAGGACAAAGTAAAGAACTAAACACCTAAGATGAACCCTTAACTATTTTAACTTAGGTTAATTAAGATGAAAATAGAATTGGAAGCAATCTGATTATGACTTTTAGGTGATTTTAAAAGAAAAGTTTTTCTAAACCATTTATGAGTTTTGAAAATATAATTTAAGTCACAATTGGACCCTTCTTTGAGCAACACCCTTTAGTGCTCAAGAGGATAAATTTTTGCATGGTTTTAGGATTAAAAACCTATAGGGAATGCCCAATGTGCACTAGCCTTCGCTAAAGCAGTCTCTTGCATACTTAGGATAAAAAAAGAAAAAGGTCATGGGGGATCAGCACAAGGTTCGCTCTATGAGCTCGTTCGAGCAATGCCCATGGTCGCTCAAGTGGTGGTAGTCCTTGGTTGGTTTGAGACTTTGTTTTCACTCTAGTGTCAACCGCTCTATGATTGTCCTCCCACAGATCGAGCAGTCCTTCACGAATTTGAGTTTTTTTATTTATTAAGACTACTCTTATTCCGAACCAATAAATAAAGAGTGTCTTTCACATACCTAAGTTAAGCCTCTTGTGAGATTTCTAAGTGAGAAAACTATCTTTCTACCTTGAGAGTTTACACCAAAACCTAGGTCCCGAAGATCCAAAAACTACCACTAGTGATTTTACTCAACCTCACAAATTGGGGTTGAAGAACTTGTTGGTTGACAAACTTATTGGTGTGTGCATACCAAGGATTGTTGGCGTGCTCACAATCGCTTGAGACCTAAATGAACCATGCGGTAAGGAGGTTCAAGTGAAGCTGCACCAGACATCGGAGAGGGACTTTTGAGAGAGAGACATGGCAAGGAAATAAGCATCTAGCTATGGTATTGGTTGAGGCATAAGTCTCGAATACTTGTATGTTAACTTGAAGAGTAGTGAATTAGGTTTTGGTGAATCCATTGAGATTCCCTGTAGTTTTTTTCGGGGGTATTTCGCGTCAACAATATTTATGTTTTATAATTTCTATTGTACCCACTTGAATTTGTTAGCACACACGTGTACTATGAATTTGTTGAATTGATTGTATGAATATCTTTCAACAATAGTTGTGCATTTGGGTTTGTGGGTTTGTTAGGATTGCCGTGAGTTTGACTTGAGTGAATTAGTTGCATATTAATTAAAATTAATCGTTATGGTTCAAAGGGTTGATGATGCTAAAAAAGGAGTTCACATCGTTTATTTTTGTATTCGATTAAGAATAGATAATTGTGGTAGACGTAGGTAATTGTAGCAGATTTTTTGACAATAGCAACAAAGGGACTAGAATCAACATTTGCCGCTGTTGGAAGAGGGTTGCGGGAGTGTTGGACTTCACGAGGTTGATTGAATTTGGACGCCTTCCAAGGTGGATAACCATGGTTTTTAAAGCAACGTGACTCACTATGACCGGCGGTGTTACAGTAAGTGCAATGATAAAAGGGTTTTTTGTCATATTGATGCGCCGATGCGATTTTATTTGCAACCATGGCAAATTGCTCAAGACCCTTTGTAGGAACATCATTAATGGAACGATCGTTCTTCTTATAGAGGAGGGAATAGGCACGGTTGACCGAGGGTAAAGGTTCCATTAATAATATTCGGCTGCTAATGGAACTATAGGAATCATTTAGCCCCACGAGAAATTCCATAAGTCTATCGGTTTGTTGAAGCTCTGGAATAGAATTGAGGGCCCCACAAGTACAAGGAGGATATGAATTATAAGAGGATAATTCATCCCATAGCCCTTTAATAATGGTAAAATAAACTGCAACAAATGTTGTTTTCTGGGTATGAATAGAAATACCGCGACAAATCTCAAAAATACGAGGAGCATTCTTTTGAGAAAATCAATCACACAAATCGATCCAAACATCGGAGGTTGTAGAACTATATATGACATTGTTAGCAATATCACGAGAAAGGGAGTTTACAATCCATGATAATACTATGCTATTGCAATGAATCCACAGTTGACGGTTCGAAGATGCTTCATCAGGTTTTGGAATAGATTTATCAATGAAGCCAAGTTCATTATTGGCTTCAAGAGCCATGTGCATAGCCCTATTCCAAGTTGGGTAGTTATCACCTTGTAGAGGCTGAGACACAAGGACAGCACCGGGACTATCAGAGTGATGAAGGTAGAACGAAGAGGACACTTCATACTCTATTGTTTTGCTGGAGTTTGAAGAAACAGTTGGAAAAGTTGAGGAGGTATTGGTAGCCATGGCAAAGGTTTTGATAGATTTGGGAGCTAACAAAGGAAACAAAATTTTGTTGGTAAGAATTACAAAGGCTCTGATACCATAGTAAGAAACCGAATTGGAAAGGAAGAAATTGAATGATTGTATTACAGTACACGTGTTATATATACATGATTCCCCCATAATGAGTGGGATTGCGAGGAGGAATTAACGAGGTATAAGTCTCATGATGTGTGGGATGTAATACAACAAGATATATGCAGCAACTCAAGACAAATTCAATACATCAAGATTCAAGGAGAAAATCATGTGAGAATCAATCCACTACAATGTTAACACATGCTAACATGACAAAGTCGCAAATCATTTTCGCCAATTCAACTATAATTTCTCCTACACAACAATAGATATGACATTTTAAACATTAGAACATCCCTAAAAGTTTATCCCCATTTTGTCATAAAGCCAAAAATGAATGCATAAACCATCTTGACTACCACATGGATGTTAAGCTTCAAATGACTAAAAAGATGGTGAGAAACAAGGAGGGGTCTAGAAATGTGATATTCGAGTAGAAGGTTCCAGTTATCTTAAGGAAAATCAGAATGTAACAAAGACACAAAAATGCATCAACAATCCAATAAGAATAATACACAAGTCTAGCTAGTTCTTTTTTCTTTTCCTACATTCTTATAGACCAATCAGCATAAATAAACATTAACAGTTCATATTCTGAATTTCAAATTCAGATCAAAATAGTCTAATGAGAGATTGTAGGCCACTGATTTAAATGCCTTCCAATAATAGTCTTAAACATTGGATGCCAAACATTTTGCAATGAATTGAATAGCGTTAATAAAGTCTATAAAAATTAGGAAAAAAATCTTAAAATCTAACCCTTTTTTTTTTTTTTTTTGGGGGAGGGGAAGGGGAAGGGGAAGGGGGAACTTAAAATCTAACTAAGCACCTTTTATGTGGTCAATCAATATGAGGAACAGTCTACACATCCAAATAAATGGGCTGCTTCTCTGATTTTACAAATATAATGGGCTTCAAGGCAAGTAATATGCGCCTAATGGTTTCCCTGTACCTCACATTTTTACAATGAACTTCAAATGACTCAATCTCGTAACCCATCTTCCACCCGGGGTGTTTCACTGGCCGCAGTCCATGGAAAGCCTCAAGGTGAAACCTGAATATCTTCTCGTAAGCCTGAACAAGAATGCATACCACAATGACAAACATGAGGCATCCGTTTTCGACTGACCAACCTTATTGGCCAAACTTCAAGATTATCACGATCAAAATCACATACCATCTTCAAAATTCTTCCTCAAAGTCCACTCAAAAGCAATTGCAGAGAAAAAAAAGTCAACTTTCATTCACAATTGTACATGAATCGCGTGAGAAGTTGAACTTTATCCTCTACATATTTTTTTCCTCAATTTCATCACATCACTCATCTTATCACATACTCAATCATTTAATATTTACTTAATTTATAGTTTAACATAATTTTTATTTCAGATATTATTTATATACGATAGTATATACATGTTGAGAAAATTTTATCAAATTATATATTTTGAAAAATTTTGTCAATAATTTTAAGAAAATAATAGATAAAAATAAATTTTAAATGATATAATCAAAAAAATGAAGGGAAAAATTTGTTATTTAGTATAGTGAAATTAATTTTTTTTTGTCGCTCGAATTTTATATTTTTTTTGTGTCTTTAGGCACGAGATATGACTAATATTACAATAATTCATGGACTCTGTATGCAGTATAGTTGGACACTTGAGCTATCTATTCCCAATGAATGAATCAGATATTCAGATTCTTTACTTGTAAACTTCTGATTAATTTAAATGTCCGTTAGTTGAGAGCAACCTGATGATCCTAGCTACTCCTATGCATATGAGACTAAAGTCTGCACCTGCTTTGTGCGTACAGTGCAACCTAACAATAAAATTACAAGAGAAATTTAGAGGCCGGTCCCTATATGGACTTATTTTGAGATAAGTTTATCAAGAAAATTTATTTGGTTTTAAATCTATTTTTTATCAATTTTAGTATTGTAACCCTTCCCTATACGAATGTTATAAACAATGTTTATGGACATAGTAACCAGTCATATACATCTCCTTCATAATCGCCTTTAAATCCGATTACAATTTTTCAAGCCACAATATTTTCTTATCCAAAAAATAAGAAATCGACATTTACAAAAAATCATTTATATTCAAATTTTAAACTCATTATATTCTATAAAATACAATTTCAATTTACTATTCCAGTTTAAATTTAACTCTATTGACAAAATATTAATATTTGAAAAATAACAATAGTAATATACTCAACAAAGATAGTAATATGATCACTAAAAAAATAGTAACATGATAAAAAAATAATAAAAATTAAGAATTTAATTCTATCATAACTAAGATTCAAGAAAACACATATATTAGTACTAAATTAAAGTGGTATAGATTTTGATTTTGTTGATTTTTTTGTTGCTCAAGACAATCGAGTATTCCTTAGTTATGTTACTATGAAAAAAGTTCATGATACTGTACGTCAACCAAAAAATGGAGTTCAGAATTTCGATGTCTTGATATTCACAATTGGTTGAGTGTCGTAATTCAACTGTCGATTGTGTGTTACTACTCGTCATTTTTAAATTTTCAATTTGTGAATTGTATTTTTACTAAAATCATTCAAAAGTTGATTTTACTTTAAAAAAAAATATTATCTTGTATTTTGTAAAATAAGATGTGTTACTGAGCACAAAGTTTTGACGTTACTATGAATATTAATGTGTGTTACATAATATACGTTTCAACGTTTGTAATTATATGTTAAAATTTACTATAGTAACATTAGTGTCAGTATAATAATACGATTGTACTGGCAACACAACCCTAGTTGTAACTTTAATCATATAGCAACATGAATGCTACTATATATTAACATTTGAGGGTGTGATCATACCAACACTAATGCATCGGATTCCATCAAAATTCCGCAGTTAAGCTTGCTTGGGCCAAAGTAGTACTAGGATGGGTGACCCCTTGGGAAGTTCGCGTGTTGCACTCCTTTTTAAAAAAATAAAATATATCAACATTCGTGTTATTGAACTTTGTTAGCATTGTTCAGCCTCCCTATATTATTCATTATTGTTGTTAAGAAAATTTTGTGATCTAATTTTGACTTAATAGACCAGCAATTTATTCATACATTAAGCTTCTCATATATAACTATCGAAATATATAATTTTCATATAAAACTTCCGTTAATTATCATAATATTTAATAAACGGTTTTCATATATAACTCAATCAAAGGGTTTCAAATATATCTCAATGATCTAACTTATTTGATTTTTATAACTGAATAAAGCTAACACCGTTATGGATAATTTTAAGATTTAAAAAATAAGTAAACTTAAGTAGCTACATATAAGTTTGAATATAAACTCACTCTCAAATAAGTTTTTTCCTAGAACTCAAATTATTATAAGTTCGTCTAGAGAGATTCACTCTCAATTTTTACAAATTACAACTTAAAAATATTATAATGGGCCCAAAATAATAAACTTACCGTCGTATCTGGCAATAACCACATCTCTCTCACTTATTTCATCGAACAACTGCCTCGAAGCCTAACTTCATCACTTGCCACATAGGATCTCAAAAGGGTATTGTTTATTTGTTTATCCGAATCAAAACCCATCTTCCAAATCATTGAATGCACTGCCGCACCAACACGCACCACCGTACACGGCCACAAGTTTTGAGGACAAAGGGGGTTTCAGGCTTAAGCCCAAATATTTGAGCTGAGAGAACAGCTTCACCGATTAAATTGGTATTGAGCTCTTTGAGTACCCTTTGATAATTGTATTCAATGCAAAGAGTGGTGAATTTTCAAAAAAGAATCCTGAAAATTCTATTGAACTGTAAATGAGAATAGTATGAACTGAGATAATAAGTGTGTGTTTGATTTTGTTTTCGAAAACTGTTTTTTATTTTTAAAATTTCAAAAACACTTAAAATCTGTTTGTTTAGCATTTTTGTTCTCAAATTTTTTTAAAAAACATGAGAATTGGAGCAAAAAAATAAAAAATAAGTTAAACTTGTTTTCATAGTTTTCTTTGAAAATTTTGAAATACGGAGACAATCTTTACTCATTAAAGAGGTATGTCCTTTGAACCTTTTTAGCAGCAAATAAGATCGTCCTATAAAAGGTATTATTTTTTGTCTGTTGTCTCTTTTTTCCTCTCTCTCTCTCTCTCTCTATGGCAAAACCAAAATAAAGGAACGGCAACACTCTCCGACGAAAGGATCTTCGTCGGCAACTGTAGATCGTCTTCTCCGACGAATGGGAGCTCTCCGGCGACTGTTTACTTCATAAAAAAATTCTTTTGTTGGCCTTTCTCCCTCCCAGACTTTCTCTTGAGTTTCATATCTGAGTTTTAGATCTAGGTTTCAGATCTTGGTTTGCTTCTCCAGTAATGGGTTTCTAGATCTAAGATCAACTTTCAGAATCTGAGATTACTCTAGCGAAGCTCCGAATAATTTTTCTTTTTTTTTTTTAATTTTATTACTCTAGCGAAGTTCCGGTGCAGTTAAACTTTTAGATTTTAGGATTACTCCGACGAAGCCCCGACTAATTTTTCTTTTTTTAAAAAAAAAATTTATTACTCCGGCGAAGCTCCAGTTTAGATAAATCAATGGCTAATTTGCTTTTTTTTAATTTTATATTATCAAATTTAATAAATTAAAATAATTTTATATGAAATTGTCTATCCAAACAGGTTTTATTGTTTTCTATTTTGTAAAATTATTTTTAAAATCATATAAACAAATAAGTTTTTCATCTTAAAAATATTTTTTTTTAATTTTTTTAAAAAATTATTTTTAAATACTATTTTTAAAGACGTAAACCAAACAGGCTCTAAGTATTCATCGTTATCGAGGGCAGCAGCTTTGAAGATTAGAAAATGGAGTCGGAGCGAATAGGCGATAGTTTTTGACCTTTGGAAGAATATTTGAATTTGGCTGGAGAGCATCTCAAATAGATCTCAAAGAAAGACAGTTTGTGTTTCAACAAAAAAGTATCATTTTTGGTGACGTGGCCAAAAAGCCCTCGTGCAATGTTCAAATTAAGTTAATTAACAGAAATACCATTAGAATGACAAGTTTGAGAAAGAGATTGGAATTGTTGACCAAGAGCAGACTGGAAAACAGGCTTCCTAGGGTTGGGCCTTTATTTTTTATTTTTTTACTCAATAAAATTAAGATGATACATTAATTATATACATCATATTTAACAATTAAAAATTTCTTAAACCAAAAAATTATTTCGACCAGTCTTCACATGTTAAAAAGCCTTGCATTAGCAATATCATTGAAAATATCTTCTTCTTCTTCTTCTTCTCCTTTTTTTTTTTTTTTTTTTGTATAAAATCATATTATTAGTCTCCTAATTATTACCCATTTGGTTACACAATCGTGTTTTCGCACTTGTTATAGTTCGAAATTCTATCCCTAAAATAAAGATATAAGTAAAATTACTAACAAATTTACAAGTAAATAAATCAATAGATATATTACATATTTTATAATTTTAACCATTTGTTTGGGTAAAACCGTCAATTCTTTTTAGATTTGAAACTATAATGCTAAAGCATACATTATTAATATAATTGTTGAGCTGATAAAAAACTGCTAAGATCCATCTAATATGATAGTGTTGTCGTTGATTATCTAGACCTTAAATTAGAACAAGTCACATCTCACTAAAAGAAAATATAATTGTTAGAGGATCACATAATAATCGAAAGCTACATATTCATTGGTCACTTTCTTCTATTCTCTATCGGTTCCTCCTTTTGGTCTAATGAAAATAATCGTGTCAATTAATTATATTCTATTTGATTTTTTAAAAAATCCAAATGATTTTGTAATGGCAAATTGTGACTCATGATTATTTTATAAAATATAATATAATCCTATATTTTATTACATAATAATCTAATTTATATAAAATATTAAAATAATTTCATATTTTTTTGCTAAAAATTATAAAATACTCTTAATATGTCTAAAATTTATCCACGACAATAATGTATTTAAACTTAAAGTGTGCTCAAAAATTTTTAATCATTTATATATCTGTACTAAATAATATAATAACAAAATAATATAAGGTAAATACAAAAAAAGAAAAACTGAAATTATATGTATAGTAATTTTGGGCAAAAAATATTCAGCCCTGTGCCTATCCTAGATCCGCCCATTCTGGAAGATGAAAGCTTCAGGGGTTTCGATGACAAGCAGCACTACGGAGAAAGTGAAGCCAAGAGATAAGAAGCCCCCTTTTAGACCAGCGAAAGATGACACAAAACCTGTCCTCGAAGACCCAGTAACCTCTCTCTCTGCCCTCCTCTGTATGTTTATATATATATATAGATGCATACATGTACATACATACAAATGTCTTTAGACTTGTATATCCACGTAATGAAGTTTTGATTACCGGTATGGTGATCAAGTCTGTAATTAATTTCAGTTGGGTATGTCGAGTTCACTGTATTGTGCTTGCTCGTAATGTCTATTAACATTAAGAATGTTTAATTTGGATGTGATAAATTGAATGATTTGTTGGCTTTTCTTTTGTTTTAATAGATACTGAGATCAGACCCGATTGAGACCGAAGAAGCTGTGCTCAAATTGCCTCCTTTCCCCGTTGTCAGGTCGAAGTCCTAACGTGAATGAGTATGAATGTTTTGCTATAAATATGAGTTAGATGAACTCAAATTGTTGGAATTTTTCATTATATAGATGACCCATGTGACTAATTAATCCCATTTTTTCAATGTTTTGGACCTTGTTTTCGTGAATACATTTATCCATATTTCAACTTTTAATGTAGATTTGCTAGTTTGATTGAGGTAGAACTGTTATACCACAATGAGGGAGCGTTTGAATTTGAATGAAAATTGCGAAGTTGTTAAAAGGTTGACGTGGGTCACCAAACTATTTTATTGTCTCTGATATCAAGCTAAATTGGTAGACTAGGAATTGGGTATTGTTCTTAGTCATAGGTAAGGTTTGAATCTGAAGAAAATTGTGAAGCAGTTGATGAATTGATATGGGTGTGTTGAACAAATTTGTGGACTTGATTTATAAATCTGTTCGATTACCACTTCATGCATTAATTTTGTCTGCGTAAACTTGAAGATTCAATATAGAAAGGAAGTATTTTGAGGAGAAAATTGGTTCAGTATATAGCTTTTGTGATGGTCTGCATAGTTCTCTGCTATACATCATTTAATCTGTATGTTTGCTCCCTAGGGGTGTAATTTATGATTTGTCTTCCTGTGCTATATAATTTTAGAAGTCTGTTAATGCCATTGCTAGCTTTGGTGATTCTACCTATATGTAGTCTTTTGGTTTTTTTTTTTTTGGCCCGGAGGGGGTAGAAAAAGAAGTTAATAGAAGAAATGCTCACGATTGAGAGTTTGGGACCATTTGGAAACAAAAAGAAGGATTTGATCCGATTAAACTTTCCCTCTCTAGCTGTTGGTGCAAAATTTTCAGATGCCTTTTGGGTTTCAATCAAAGTTAAGACTATCACATAAAGCAGAGACCCTAGATGTAGTCATTCCTGGTTTAATGAAGCTTTTAGTTGGTTAGAATGCTACACGTTTATCAGGAGATGGTTTTGACACTGCTATTGAGGATCTTTTGTACTTGCAATCACCCTTATCATTCTTTACTTGGTTGAGTGTAGCTCTTCCCAGAATCTGTTGATGGAAGTATAAACAAACAAAAATATTTTGGGAACAGTGAAGTTTCACGTTTTAACTCATTATTAGGTGCCATTGGAATAAGGAGTATGAATGTGGGTTTCTTTTGCCTCCGGTGTACCGATGGTTGGAGTTCAAATTTGGCTATCTCCTAAGTTTATGAGTACCTTTTAATAACTGTTTTTAAAATAGTCGTCTTTTTATTTTTTGGGCTTTTATAATTTTTTTTTTTTTTGAGTAGCATGTGTTTGCATTTTTTTTCTTGCCAAAGTTTACTCTTTTCCTCCAAACAATTTTGCATGCATAAGGATATACATATTTACGTTTATTGTGTTCCATTTATTAACTAATATGTATATTGATCACTTAGCAATGAAATATTCTTTTGCTTTTTGACAAATTTTCCTATTTGCTCAAAAAATTACTTTAAAAAGTTGCCAAATGGTATCTTATTTTTTTAGCAAATAATTGCAACAGGTTTTCCAGAGGCATAATAACACAACACATTCTTTTACATATCTACAACCCTAGCCTAGAAACTGAGTTGGCTGAAGTGTCTAAGTTTGTATCTCAACCCTGGAATAAATCCTCATCAAGACTCATCCTCGAGTTTGCAATAGGTCATAAGTGTTCAATTTGCTTCAAGTCAAAATTCTCTCAATTCGTATTGTGACGTGTTTGTTTTGTGTTTAATAGGCTCACACTGTGATTGGTAGAGTTTGTGTATGTTCATTTATTGACGATTATAACAGCTTCACCTATTTACCACATTCTGATCCCAAAAAAAAAAACCTTTTTACCACACAAATTTACTAATTTTGTGTTGATTTCGTGTCAAGATTACAACAAATTATGTCTTGAGTTGTCAAGCCTATCACGTAATGTAGAGGTCCAAGTATGTCAAACTTATTGCAACTGAAGTATTTGGTTTTGGGTCATGTTGCGATAGAAGAAATGCTCTCGATTGGGAGTTTGGAACCGTTTGGAAACAAAAAGAAAGATTGATCCGATTAAATATTCTCTTGGGTTTCAATCAAAGTTAGACTATAACATAACGTAGAGACCTTAGATGTAGTCGTTTCTTGTTTAAAGCAGCTTTACTTGGTTAGAATGCAACAGGTTTATCAGGAAATGATTTTGAAAATGCTAGAGGATCCTGTGTACTTGCAATCCCCCTGTTAATTATTTACTTTCCTAATAATGTAGCATTCAATAAATTTGTGTCCTATCAAAAAAAAAGGCAATGTTATTAAAACCTAATTTGTAGACCTAATTTACTATCATCTTTAGATTAACTGTGAATTCTATTATGCATTGAAACTTAGTATTTATTCAATGATTTCATTGAAATCACATTATCATGTTAATAAATTATGTCAAATTTTTAGATCCAAATAAAATAACTCTAAATTTTTTTTTAAAAAAAAAAGTCACAAAAAAATCTTCCACTCCCGTGACATCCACGTGCACTGTACTACCCTTTCAGAAAAAACAACCAAAAAAATATAACTATAAAGCATAAGCCTCAAGAGAAAGCATAGGCATGTCATCAATTACCCACAATACAATAAAATGTCGTAGGACATGAATACCAAAGAGCACTTACATTCTACCTTCCCTGCGTTTATAAAAAGGTGATGCTATATTTATCAAATTTTTATCTCAAATGATGTGACATTTTCATATCAAATAAATAGATTTCATTAATATTCAATAACTAAAATTATACCACATCAATTCAAATAAAAATTTTAGTAAGAAAATAACGTTTTCTTTTATTCAAGGCTTTAATTCAAGAGGAAAAAGTCTTGCAAGAATGGCACAACCTTTTGTTGTAGAGGAAATAGCTTATATTAATCCAATCAATACCCAACCAAACAAGGAGCAAACAGCATAAGAACACATTCCATGCCCCCAAATAATTTGAGATAGTGTTTTCTTACGTTTGGTTTGGCTTAATAAATTAGATACATCGTCAAATAAAAATTAGTGAATTCCCTTTTTTTGAATAAATGGTTCACACTACAACTAATCGTACAACAATTAAAAACTATCCTCATCAGAGATAGGAGAAGTCGGATTCATAACTTTAGGGTACCCCGCAGGCAAGGTAAATAAAGGGTCTTCTTTGGATGATCCTTTTAGTGCCAAAGCCAAAGCATATCCCAAGGCTCGTGCGACAGGAACAGCCACCGCATTCCCCACTTGAATGTATCTGGAATGTATATTGAAACAAAAGTCGTCAAAGAACCATGTTTTGTAAAGTATAGCAGAATAAGTACTATTCTAAACTTCATTTACAAAAACTTGTGCCCATTCCCAATACCCTTATCCTCATAATATGTTTTACCTTTCTTTAATTGGACCAAGAAGTTTATAATAATCGGGAAAGCCTTGCAATCTTGCATTTTCCCGAATGGAAAGTACTCGATTTTGCTGAGGATGCAATATTGCCTAACAAGAAATCAAGAATAGGGCATTAGATAAAGCACAAGCATATTCCTACCAGCATAAGGATGTGCCTCAAAAGTATATGCAAACAAGAAAGACCACCTGGTTGTGTGGTTCCGCTCTAGTAACCACAGTTGGCACTGTCTCATCCCACCATAACCGAGCAAACGGCCTGCACAATTTTGCAAATGAGTACATACAAAAATTTATATTTATTTACAGAATTATGAAACACAAACCAACCACTCCGTACTTTGATGAACTTCCGTTTACAAAAGTCATTGCATAATCAGGTACCTAGCATTAATGACAACATAATCACTTTCAACCGACAACTAGCATAAAAATATACAAAGATTGAAAATTACAAAGCAAATCATACCAATGGCTTCCCAGAAGGCAGATACACCCTTGGAATATCTGGGTCCCACTCAACTTTGTTGTCATCACGAACCCGTACACCTCTCAGATCCCTAAAGTTTGCACACTGAAAATAACAAACAATGGAATCGATCAAAAGACCAAAAAGTTTCAAATTTTCATCAATAGTACACAACACGTAATGAGAGGTGAAATTACCAAACCTTTCTCATTGGTATTTGGCAGACACGTCGGTAATCATCCTCATTCAATTGAAGAGGGCGATGGTCAAAAATTTGATGTGGTAAAGCTTCTGACCCAAATAAGGAACAACCTGGCATTTCTACATGATATAAAAATGGAAACATACATCAGAGGAGGCAAATTATAAAAAGCATAGCTATGTTGTTTGCAAGTCCATTTTAAGAACCACCCCATAGTATACCAAGTTGAAAAAACAAAAGACCCCTTGCATAGAATGAGGATCAGGATCATCTTTGGCGTAGAAGAGACAGAAAACTAAGCATTATATATTATAAGAAATTAAAAAAATGCTACCGGAAAAACAACAAAAGTAAACATGCAATAACTAATAGCCATTTGCACAGCCAATGACTTAGATTTGGAACATGACAATACTATTACACAAAACAAAAGTTCTAATTGCAACTTAAACCTAGGATTTATAGAGTTCAAAAACTAGTGCAAGTTTAAAGTAAACCAAGAAACCTCTACCAAACCTAAACGAAAACAAAGGCTCCATAGTGCTCATACCACCTTTTTGATAGAAAACAAAAAAAAAATTCATCACTTACGGTGAAATAAAAAGTAAAAAAGTACAATGTAGTGGATAAGAAATCCACCTCAAATCTAATGCAATACCAAAAAAAAAAGGAAAAACAGAGTTGAAAATATACATCAATCAATAACTATCAATATTTTCATCTAACTACAAGTTGTCTTCCAACTCTTTTGACATCAATGCTCAAAAGGTAGCAAAAAAACTTGATTCTTTTCCATAACAACTCCACATATTCTTCCATGCCTTTGAAAATTCTATTATTTCTTTCCAACAATATTCCAAAAAAGTTATTGGAAATATAGCAATAGCTTAGTTTATTAGAGTTTTATTAAGTTTTTCTTTTTTACCTTTTTGTCCTTATTGTAACTCTCATTCATTATATATACGGGGACTCTACACTTAGTTTGTATCTCTTTCACTTACATCTAGGCCCCGCCCCCGCCAAACATCAACATAACCACCACCACCTTCAGCATTGACAAACCAACAACCACCCACAGCCTGCAACAACAAACCAACAGCCTCTGCCGACAAAACAACTTAATCCACCGACTGTTAAACCAGTGCACACAACAAGCACCGACTGCCAAACCATACCCAACTTGAACTCAACCTTGAACCAGCAAACCCAGCCACCTCGAACAGCCAGACAAACCAACAACATCAACATCACCGACCAGCACCGACCACCAAAAAGCACCGAGAGATTGAAGCGAAACCCACTACCCACTGTCCAACAAAACTAGAACCAGCGACAGCCACCTAACCCACTACTCAACTAACTACTTCACCACTGCTTCACCGACCGCAAAAATCACCAACCAAAACAAGAAGCCCATTGTCCAACATAGAGACAGACCCCAAGTAAACATATACCAGCCTATTAAACATATACCCAACCATGCTTACTACTGGGTCATTGTGCAGCCCACTGCTAAGTCGCATTTTTTATTGTGGCTTCGTCCTAGGACTTTTTTAGGAAAGAGCGGATCCTCTTCTCTGGTGATCTATTTTTGATGTAGTCTATTTTACGGTGATCTATTTTTGATACAATAGATCACTTATTTATATATTTTTGGATTTCTGGGGACCATGACCTAATTATTTGGGAGCTTTTTGAACCTTCTTTATTTGTCGTTACTGTTCAACTGAAGATATATTGTTCTCCCTAATTTTATTTCTCTATTTATCTTAGAGTTATGTTTCTGTCACGGGTGCCCTAGTATTGTTGTTGATATGACCACTATTAAGGGACTTAAGAACCCTACTGTTTACACCTCTACCATTGAGACATCTATGGGTACTTTCACTTTTACATTTGACCAGTATACAGTACCTACCAACACAGTTGCAATACCAACACTACCAGACATGATCTCTCAAAAAGTTACAGCACAGTTGTTGAATGTTCGTAACTTTGCTGAGTGGTCTCGCTCATTCTAGCTTTTCTTAGGCCGTATAGGAAAGCTTGGTTGGCTGACGAGATCCCACCCAAAGCTAGTTGATGTCAACCCTGGATATTCTGCGTGATTCTCTGAGAATTGCACCATTCTTGAATGGTTATTTTGGCTTGATGGAGCCATTTGTTTGTAAAATTCACCAATTTTATAGCTCTGTTCCGAAGCTATGGGGCACACTATCAGAGATGTATTCTTAATCAACATGAAAAGTTCGTCTTTATAAGTTTTATCAGGAGCTCTCATATGCTCGGCAGAGAGATATGACCGTTCAGGATTATTATGGCTATTTAACCCAGCGCTGGCTTGAGTATGAGACTCTACGTCCTCTTGCTGCTATTCCGAAGATAGAGCCCGAGAGAGCAGCATTCTTGCATACTCGAAAACAAGAGGATAGGATTCACAAATTCCTTATGGGGCTTCGTAATGAGTTTGAGGGACCTCATTCTCAGATCTTGTTGATGTTGACACTTTCTTCTCTTTATGAAGTATATGGAATGATTATGCAGCATGAGCATCGAGTCCGTATTGCATCACTTCCAATTGCGACTTTAACTCTTTCTACTGACCAGATGGCCCTTATAGTTACTGCAGAGTCTCGTTTAAGATCCTCAATCAGGGGTGGGCAGCGCTAGGATCAACGCCGTCAATGTGATTATTATAGCCGACTAAAATATCTCAAGGCTACTTGCTGGAAGCTCCATCCAGAGCTTAAGCCGCCTCCTCGCAATCGTACTGTTGCTATTGCTGAGGTACCACCACCCACTACCGCTACTCCTACTACTTCACCTTGACAAAGTAATATGGATGTTATCACTTTTCGATTAAATATACTTATGTCTGCTCTGACTTCTCATAATCTGACTACTGCTGTTGTCACCACTACAGGTATACATCGTGCCTTTCACACTCGTGCCAGTTCATCTCCCCTTTGGATGTTGGACTCGGGTGCAAATGGTCACATGACAGGTGAGGCCCATCATTTCACCACTTTTAACAAACAGTTACATACACAGGTTCAATTAGCAGATAAGACACATGCCCCTATTGTTAGTAAAGGTACAGTCCACCTCCCAGATGGCCTTACATTACGTTCAATTTTTCATGCGTCAAATTTAGCCATGAATCAATTATCTGTACATCAATTAGCCAGAGATTTTCACGGTGCGGTTGTATTCTTATCTAATTCGTGTTATTTGTAGGACCTAAGTAACAGGAGGATTATTATCAGGGGACATGAGAAAGATGGACTGTATTATCTTGGCAATCCACCTCCAGTTTCACCAATTCCTCCACCTACATCACCTGCACCTGCTTTGTCTTTTTCTATTACTAGCTTGCATGCTAATATTTTACCTAGTAGTTGTCGTTATGATTTTTCGTCACAAACTATTCAGTTGTGGCATGACCGTTTTGGACATACAAATTTTAAATATTTATATATGTTGTTTTTTGCTTTAAGCAATGCTTGTATTGGTGGTAAACTTGATTGTGTTATATGTTCCCAATCGAAACATGTTAGGGCCAATTATATTCCTCGCATACACCAGTCACTTAAGCCATTTGACCTAATATACTCTGATATTTGGGGACCCTCTCCTGTTACTGCTTTGTCAGGTGCCCGATATTATGTGACATTTATAGATGACCATACCCGTTGTATTTGGGTCTACCTTTTGCATAGAAAGTCTGATGTACTTCCTATAATTACTCAATTTTTACAAATGATTAAGACACAATTCGATGTCATTGTTAGTGCTCTTCCATCGGATAATGCCAAAGAATGTGTCTAATGCCTTAGTGTCTCACCTTTCTTCTCAGGATATTCTTCAACAACTCACTTGTCCATATACTCCTGAGCAAAATAATATTGCTAAAAGGAAAAATAAGAGTTTGATAGGAATGGTACGTTGTATGCTTAGAGGCATGAGGGTACCAAAATCTTATTGGCATTTTGCTGTTTTGACTTCTACCTTTCTGTGCAATCGTACGCTGAGTCGTGTTCTTCAGCTTAAGACTCCCTTACAGATTTTATTTCCTGAGTGGACACTTTTTCTAGTCACCCCTCGTGTTTTTGGATGTACATGTTTTGTTCAGGATCGGTCTCCTACTCGTCATAAACTTGATGATAAAGCGATTTATTATATATTTGTAGGCTATTGTCATCAATCTAAGGGGTATCGGTGTTATGATCTTATCAGTCGTCGTATGAATTACAATGTAGATGTTACCTTTCTTGAGCATATTCTTTATTTTTCTTCCAATCCTATGTCTGCCCCTCCAGTTGATGATACTCCCTTTGATTTTTTATTACCACAGGAGTCAAAGTCATTGGTCATTATCCTTTCAGGGTCATCTGTTTCTCCTCCTTCAAAGCCACTCATCCCTGTTAGTACAGAATTACCAATCTCTCTTCCTTTGCAGGTTTATGTTCGTCGCCCTCATTCTCATCACCCTGCTGATGTCCCCTCTACCTCAGGCGATGCAGGTAATACTTCTCAGTTTATTAAGCATATTGATACACCTGTTGTTAGTACTGATGAGATTGCAGGTACTGAGCCAGTTCATTTACTTGATGAGATATTATCAATGGAGTATGATTTAGGGCGTCGTTATCCGCGGCGTAATCACCGTCCAGTTGATCGTTATGCTTGGACCGCCAGGATTTTATATCCGATCTCTACTTATGTTTTTTTTGGTGATCTGTCTCCCACATTTTGAGCGTATACTATAACCTTATAAGATACACCAATTCCTCGCTCTATTTCGGAGGCTATGCGGGAGCCCCAATGGATTCTTGTCATGCAAACAGAGATAGACGCTCTTCAGCGTAATCATACATGGGATCTTATCTCCTTACCTTCAAGGGTGAAGCCTGTTGACTGTCGCTGAGTTTACACCCTGAAGTTTTTTGAGAATGATACTATTGATCGTCACAAGGCTAAACTTGTGGCGAAGGGCTTTACTCAGGTACCAGGTCGTGATTTTGGTATTACATTTGCCCCCGTGGCAAAATTGACTACTGTTCGATTAATTATTTCACTGGCTGCGGAGTACTCTCAGTCCCTTCATCAATTAGATGTGAAGAATGTGTTTCTTCATGGTAATCTGGACGAAATTATTTATATGGATACCAGACTTTCGTGGTAAAAAGGAGTATGCTGAAAAGGTATATCAACTGCGTAAGTCTCTTCATGGACTAAAATAGTCACCACGAGCCTGGTTCGCTTGCTTTGGTGATGTAGTCATACGATTGGGGTTCACCACGTGTCATTCTGATCATACCTACTTTATTCAACGGAATATTTCTGGATAATGTGTCATCCTTCTAATATATGTTAATGATATTATTATTACTGATAATGATATTTCTGGGACTGCGCAGATCAAGATAGACCTTGGGAAGGCCTTCGATGTGAAGGATCTTAGATTTCTGCGATACTTTCTTAGGATTGAGGTTGCCCATAGCGACAAGGGTGTTGTTCTTTCTCAGAAAATGTATGTTTTAGATCTTCTTTCAGACACTGAGATGTTAGGGTGCAAACCGACATCATCACCCATGATTCCAAACCTAAAGTTTACTGCTGAAGGTGAGGAGTTGAAAGATCCAACAGTTTATCAAAGATTGGTAGGTAGACTTATCTATTTAGCCAATTCTAGGTCGGACATTTCATTCGCAGTAAGCCGAGTTAGTCAGTTCATGCACAGGTCATGTCAGCCTCATCTTAATGCAGTTTATCATATTCTTCGGTACCTTAAGTCTTGTCCTGAACTTGGGTTGTTTTATGCATCAGGATCTCAGACCAGTTCTCTAGCCTATTATTCAAATTCAGATTATGAGAGAGCATGTGATGATCGATCTACTACAGGCTTCTATGCTTTTCAAGGGACTCGTCTTATCTCTTGGAAGAGCAAGAAGCAGGCAGTTGTCTCCCGCTCGTCAGCAGAGGTAAAATATCGGGCACTGGCACTTGGCACGTGTGAAATTATCTGACTACGATCGATTCTTGGCGAGTTGGGTTTTTCAGTGACCTCTCCGTCCACATTATATTGTGATAATCAATCTGCTATTCAGCTCGCTTCTGACTCTGTACTACATAAGAGGACGAAACATATAGAGATCGATGTTCACTTTCTTTGGGAAAAAGTTAACAATAGTATTGTCACTCCATTGTTTGTGGGGACCAGTGATCAAGTTACAGATGTTTTTACCAAACCTGTCACTCAGTCTATTCTTCAGGACTCCGTTGTCAAGTTTGGCTTAATTGACATTTTTGCGCCTAGCTTGAGGGGAGTGTTGGAGATATAACAGGAGCCTAATTTATTAGAATTTTATTAAGTTTTCCTTTTTTACCTTTTTGTCCTTATTGTAACTCTTATTGACTATATATACGGGAGCTCTACACTTAATTTGTATCCCTTTCACTTACATCTAACTCAAGTGTTGTCATTACCACACATTCCAATAAATGGATGTCTTACCCCCTTTTTCAAACACAATGATTTGTTTCAAGTAAAGATAGACAATATTGGGATTACCGAACTCAAATCAAACTCATAAAGAGCTTTATACCACAATTTCAATGCTACGAGTGAATGGAAAAATAAAAGAGCCACACATTCATAGCAATTTTTAAACATTAATCACCATTGGGGATAATTTGCAAGGTAGTACAAGTACATTTGTGCCATACAATTTGCTATGTAGTGCAGCTACGATTACGCACTATAGTGATTTTCTTAATACGTTGTGTCATAAGACTAAACTTAGTTGATGCATTATTTTGCATTGTGAATAGTGTATGAATATTTTAGTTATAAAATATAGACATAGTTAACAAATATTCATTTTCTATTCCTATTTAGACTATCATTGTTGTTTCCAAATAATTGTAGATAATCAAAGCTAGTGGTTACATATTTGTATTATGAGCATTTAAATCCCAACAAAACAAAATACAAGTTTAAAGATCACTAATAAAAAGAAATATCCAACTAGGGTTACAATTTGGGGTTAAGTTTATAATTTTAGATCATTTGGATTGTCGATCAATTAGGGATCTAAGTTACAATTTGGGCTCAACAACCTGAGCAATCTAGGTCATGACATGAACCCTTTTTGGATTGTGCAACCTTGATGCTCAAAACACTTGGGATATCTACAATCCCAACACCTATGTTCCAAATTTGCTAATGAGCACATTTGCAATCTAATTATACAATCTAATCCACTATTCAAAAATACAATAACTAAAAAAGCAAAAGAAAAATTTCTCAAACCAAAGGAGAGAAGAGATGACAAAGAGGAAGAAAACTGCATGTGTATTATCATGACGAACAAATGAAAAAAAACTACAATTACACAAAGAAAATTATAAGAGAGAGTGAAGGGAACTCCCACTAGCTATTTGGAATCGCATGTAGATATCATTTAAAACACATTCAACATACTTAAAATCTTTTGGGTGGGATTGTTTCTAGATTAGATTGGCCTATATCAAATCTGATTTGTTAAAATAACATAGTAGACTTGAGTTGTTTTAGAATAATCCAATCAAGGAACCCTTATCAAATGCTAATAAAAGTATCAAACTAGATACAAAGCAAAATCAAATTCATTGACAGACTTACCTGCCAAGCAACATATGATGTACTTTCTACATGTGAACACCATTTTCTTCATGTAATTAGACCACTGAGCTACTTAACACAACTAATTCACCCTTCATTTTCCTTTTTCATTTGATATGACATTAATACACTAGAAAACCATAGTTTGACTATAAATCTAAAATAGTAGTTTTCTATAAAGATCAAAATTTCATTTCAATGCATTATTTCGATCATCTAAAAAACACAGAACCATTTCGACATATTTTGAAAATATTTAACATTTCAAAAATAAAATGAAAAAAAATAAAAATTTGAAAATTATTTTTTTAAAACATTGATTGAAATATTTCAAAATATCTTAAAATACCTTAAAATATTCTAAAATAATTGTATAAATGCATTGAAATATAACAAAATATTTCAGAACATTATGAAACACCTCAAAGTATTAAAATTTTAATTCATTACTGATTCGTTTCAATCTCCTCGAAAACGAAAACGTTTCAAATGTTTCGACCGTTTCGAAACAATATTTTGATCCTTGGTTTTCCAAAAAAATTTTGAGTAGAGAATATATTGGGCTCACCATCCTTTCTTAATCTAATGAAGTGTTGAAATTCTGTCTTGGGTTCACCCTCGTATGGTATTTCATCACGTGCCTCATCATTATCCACCTAAATAATAAAAAATCGATTAAAAGAAAAACAAATAAAAAACCGAGTCGTATTAAATATCAAGGAAAACCTTTGTAACATGATTTTACATACCGGAGGAAGGTCTGATATTGCATCCCCAAGCAAGAGTTCCTTCTCCAATTCCATTTTATGACCTTCTTCATAGCCAACCGTGTTTGACTGCATGCATATGCAAAGTTTATAAATGTAATCCATGACAAAAATAGACAAATGAAGGATCTATCATACCTCAAATTCAGTAGGAATCACACCCCTTACAACGACATTATGCGTGGGTAATGGATATTGGGGCAATTTCTGCAAGTGAAAATAGGCAACTAGTATGAATCACAAAAATAAAGAGTCTGAAATTAAACAAAATAATGAAATCACCTCTGAAGGACGAGCACCCCACATGAACATTCGCATGCGAAATTGTGGAAGGCCATAAGCACCGGCTGCCATCATCCCTAATCGTGCTTGATAATTCAAGCCAACAAGACGACCCAATGCATATCTTCCAAGAAATCCCCCAGCAAACTTAACTATGTCAACCACATTTTCCATCAAAACTAGTCTTGGTTTCAGGAAGTCCACAATATCCATGAACACAGCAAGCTGTTTATTTTTTGGATCTTCTAAGGGATTCTCTTTATTCCTAAAGCGATTGAATCCACTTATGCCTTGGCATGGGGGACCCCCACATACAACATCAACAGTACCCTATTGACCATCATACAAAAGAAAGAAGAATCAACAAAACTGATTTCTAATTGAAACAATCGTAATTGGATGGAACAATTACAAATATTGGAACTTACAGGCAAAGGCAAAGTCTTTAATCTAAATCCATTGGTGACAAATTCCTTTATCCGCTCACGACAGTCACTAACAAAGATACATGGCATACAAGTAATCAAATTGAAATAAGAAGAATATAGCACAGAAAGCTCAAGCACAAAAATGATCAAATTTATTTGCATACCCTAAATCATCTGCAGGCTCCCAGGTGTCTTCTTCTGGCCCATAACCCTTCCAACGAATCTAGAGACAGACATATTTGAAAACTTAAGAAACAGAGGAAATGGCTGGGACACTCTTATCAAAATTATTCAAGCTTATATAAGTTCATTTTTTGAGCATCTAATTATGCACTAGAATAATATAACAATAATTCCTATAACAAGAACTATCGATAAGAATGATTGGGAAACACGGATCTAGATGTTTTGTCCTCATTAATTAGAATGACTTCAAATCCATTGCTCAAATATGAACATATCTACTGATGTGCAAATTAGAGACATATTATGGCTTCATCCAGAATGTGCATGCTGCAAAAAACTTTGCTCCTGTTTTGTTCCTTACTAGAAATAAAATACATATCTTGGTTTAAGTACCTTAAGATACAGTCCGGGTTTCTTAATTTCATTAGGGTCACCATAACATATCGCCAACACCTCCTCAACTTCAAATACTTCATCATCTTCCACATCATCACTGGCTTCATCATCATCATCACCTTGATCACCTTCTATACTTGTTGGATCTAGATGTTGCTGTTGTGAATCCCCACAACCTATTAATGAAAAGGAAGCACAGAGCTTCTCCCACTCCTTTAACAGAGATAGGAAATCTTCTGCAGATTCATTTCTAACCTGTATTGCATTAAAGATCAATCAGTCCATAAGTTTTATGCGTATGAATACGATGACAAAATAGGGGGGGAGTGGGGGAGAGAGATGATGATATGCAGTATAACGTACCTCAGTCTCAGGGTGGTTCAATTTCAGGCTCTTGCATGCATATGGATTCAAGTCAACAGCCCATTTCTGCATTAAAACACGTATAAAAGTAATTATAAAAAAGTGGGTTTTAGGTGTAACCAAAACAACATAGGACAATACAAAATGTGTTCACCTTCACCATAATTAATTCATATGTACATAACCAATCAAAAGAGTAAAATATAAGTTCAAACTTACAGTAACCACATTAACCCCAGAACTATTGGCACCTAGGCAAAGTCCAGTGGACATTGCGCCACAGCCAGAGTAAAGGTCCAAAAGCAACATCTCTGACTTCTTATGCTTTTCAACTTGAAAAATTTCAACACCCCCCACAGTTCCTGCAACATCAGCCTCACTGGAGATTGTAGAATCCGATTCACTTCCAGCCCCCATGTTATCTGCAAAAAAATTTATTTCTGACTCCTAAGAACCAAAGAACTGTCCTTGTTTTCCACTGTAACTAAACAAAAAGCTCATTAAAAGTAGCAAATTGTTGATCTTAGCACTAAAAGAAAAATATACCTGGTGGTGGCAAGCTCACAAAAGAGGAATATGGCAACAAGTACATCATGTCATAGTAATAGTGGCAATCTGGAATTGCAACCTTCTTGGAATACATATCAACCTGAAAAAAAATCCTGATATGTTAATGCAAATACAGGGACTAGAAAGTTTGCCAGAAATATGCCAGACAAGATCAGTCATACATTTAAAGGCAGATGAACAATTTTCAGCTTCTCAACGAGGCAATCCAGAGGATTGTCATCCTTCACTTCTGATAAAAATACACGTTTATCATCAATCAGGTTGCAACAGCTTTGAATGACCTAATACAGCAACAAAATGCAAAACGTCAGAGCACTACTATATTAAGAACAGCAACGCTTCCTGGGCATAGTTGCATAATTCCTACCGTATCACGGGCCCTATAAAACCATTGGGCTGTGAAGTAAGGTGTGCCATCTACTGCCTCAAAGAACTCCAAAATTCTACAAATATAATTATCCTTCCCCTCTTCAGCCTAAACAAACACAACAAATCAAGGTAGAAACATAAATCACATAATGATATCATCTAAAAATAAAAAGATATAGGTCCATCGAATCTAAAAAACACAACTACTAAAAATTTGAATGAAGCCACCCACAACACCCCATTCTAGACATATTAAAAACAATAATAAGGATTTGTTGTCCCATTTTCTGCAGAAAAAACACCATTCATTGATTTTGCTTCTAGTACACAACTAAATAATTCAAACTTCATCCCTACCATCTGGGTAAGCTACACATGTCATTTTCCTCCATTATGTTTTACCAAGGGTATTATTACCATCAATAGGAGCTAAAGATATTCCATAAATATGACCCAACTCCAGACCACATAACTAAATTCTCTTACTTTCTTCCAAGGGTAGTAATCATACCATTTTACCAATACATTAATCCATAATGATATTATTTATTGTTCTGTTTCAAACTCATCTTAATATTAGCATTTTAACCATGCTTTGTTTATGAACCTAATGTTTTTCTGTTGCCCAACAGTTTTTATCATCTTAAAGTCATTTAGTAAACTTACATTTCAACTTCAAAGATATACTATGATCACATACCACACCAAATGTACTGCACTTAAGCTATTGTGCTTTACTTTTAAGAATAATATCATTGCTACATTTCATAATTGATCCCAAAATAATAACTATCCAGTTTTTGGCATTTATTTGTTTTTGTTAATGTATATGTTCATCTAATATTCCCACTTAAAAATTATCCATAAAAAAGGCACAAAAAATACAAATATCTAAAGGCTCAACCAATATTACCTAGACTACGAGTTGATTTGGTATGTAGTATAGGAATGGATACATGGTACAATACTTTTCTCATTATGCAATGCTTTGGTTAAACTTAGTTGGTACAATACTTTTGAGTCATGGTTCACTTTGTAACCCTAATCCAGATTGCATTGACTATTTTGTGATTTAATATATAATCATACATCTATATTCCATAGATAACTAATATTTATACTAATTTCTGGTAAGATTTACAAATTAAATCATAGTTAATGACATTGTACCAGAAAATAATTGTAAATAATAAAAAACTAGTAATTGTAAATTTACTTTTTGAGAAAAAACTAGAACACTGCAAATCAATACATAAAATTAAAAATCATCACAAAAAAAAAAAAAAAAATTAACAAGTTAGGGTTACAATTAGAAGTTGAGTTTATAATTTGAAATAACCTAGATCACGAGTAAACTTTGATTTTGAATTACAATCTAGATTCAAGAATTTAAACAATTTAAATCACGAACTCACCCCATTTTCTAGTCCAAGGAATTCTAGGGATATCTAAGATATTAGTATCTAAGGGCTCAACCAAAATGTAAGTTGACAATATTTGGAGATTCATTGCTATTTGTAACTTTATTCTTCCCTAAAATCCATGGTATTACATTTTTATGAACTCTATCACAAGTTTTTCTCTATCCTAAAGTGTATCCAATTTTCGTTTTCTTCAATGCATTTCTACTTTCAACACCCCAATGGAATGAAAATTTTGATTCTATCATAATGTGTTGTAGAACATGCAATTCTATTATCTCATACAGGTTATAAAATCAGTTTTCATTTGAGCTCGGCCATTGAGAAGACCTAAAATTTAGAAAGATAAAAGGCTCTCTAATTACAACGGCATACAAAATGTAGAATTGGAACAATGAAATTGGAGTTAATTAATATAAAGTCCATGATAGATAAATGGTAGCATGATCAATCAGTTTCTGGTGAGCCAATCCAAACTTAGCAACACAATAAATATTTAAACCCTGTAAAACTATGACAAATTTTTCATTATGGTGATCACCATCATCCTCCTCCCATTGCAAGATGGTAGACAATGAAAATTATAAATGGAAACACATGATAGATAAGGATATAAAATTATTCAATACAATTCAACTCAACTAAATCTGCATCCCAACTATTTGAGGTCAAATACAAAAATCTTATTTTTCCATTGTGCTTTATCAAGGGTCACGTTTTCTATTAAATTATGAAACATTGTATTATTTCTTACTATTTCCTTCAAAATTAGTTTCAGTCTACCTCTACCTCTTGTATTATCATCAATATGTATTAAATCACTTTTCCTCACTAATGCATTACTAGATCTTCTATGAACATGTCCAAAATTAAAAAACTTACATTGACATGAGCATCGTCTTGAAGATTGTAAACTACGCGACAATCAACCTCTGCCTGCAGGTAATGGCATTTGGCTTGAATGATCTCCTCTGACTCATCATTACTGCACCCATTGAAATTATTTACAAATTGAAAAACAATATATGAAAGCTTAATCCTACAAAAAGATGACGTGATAGACAAACTAACAATCTTTTTGTTAAGCATGCCAGTGATTAAAAGTAAAAGGCTTTCCCTAATAGAAGCAAGCATAAGCAAATGCTTCTAAAAGAAAGCAGTAGTCAGAAGCTTACCCTTTTGTGGCAGTGCATGAAACATTCTTTTTCCCCTTGCTCTGTAAATCGAGAAAATTAGTCCATTACAACACTTGAAAGACAAAAGTATCGAAAAATGGAATAGATTTTTGTTGCTAATACTTCAAAAAGATATCAAGGAGACAGCAAAATTTTGGATATTCATTACATTACACAACCATAAATTCTTACAACTTATACATTAAAGATGTAGAACAATATAGTGGCCAGCTCAAGGAACGGTAACACCGAGTCACCATCGTCATTTAATATCACCATCCAATAACAATCTTACAAATGAACAAAGTGAGCTCCACTTATTTATACATGATGGAGATTACCTACATGGACATAACAATTACTAAATTTAATAGGATCTACTTGGTTAGAGCATCTCCAATCCTTACCCCTTTTTTTAACCGAATTTTAAATTTGGGTAAAAATAGCCTAAAAACCTTCTTCAATCATTTACCCAAACTCATACCAACTCAAGAAAAATTCAAATCTTTACTCAAATCACAAATAGTCAAATTTTATTCTCTTTTAAAGATCTAGTGATCATAGTTCACTCTCTTTTAAATTTGGAATAACCCTCCTTTAAATTTAAGTCTATCCTCCTTTAAATTTGAATTTATCTATTAGTTATTTGTATCAAATTAAAGTTTTTAATCAAATGTTAACCCAAATTTGAGTAAAAATTTGAATCGTAATCGAATATGCTGTAATGTTATTTTATTATTGATTGGTGTTCAATATTTTCTTCAGCTCAAGAGCCTAAAAACGGTTAAAAAAACAACTGTGTACAGAAAAACCATCATTTATGGAAAATAAAAAAATGGTGAATTAGTTTGTACCTGATATATTCTACGCTTATATATAAAGTCGGGTAAAAGCCTCAAAACCATTAAATGAACAATGATATACACAGAAAACCGCTACATTTTACAAAAATACATATTCAAAACGAACATTTATTTATCTGGGTATATACTTGTATGTACATTATTGAGTTGAAATGAGGAGAAGTTCGAACCTTTCCTTGGTATCGATGAGGCCACCGACGCCGCGCTTCATCATTGTCAATCGGTTGACCGATATACCGACTCTCCGCGGCATCATCCTCTACATTATGCTTCGTACACTTCCTTGCAGGGATCGTTCGCTGTCCTGCTTCGCTAATTCCTGCTCCATTTGCCAAAACATATTCTTCCACCTCATTCTCCAATGAAGCGATTTCTTCTTCGCTTGCCAAAACAGCTTCTTGTGCCAAGCCATTCTCGGAAACAGAAGGAGATCTGGTAATTGAACCCTTTTCCGACTTCAAAATTGAAGCCTCTGCTTGTCTTTTCGACTTCTTTGCAGAAGTTGACGCAGAAGTAGAAGCAGCAATTCGCTTGCGAGTCATTTTGGAGAGGTAAAGAGAGGTTCTGAAGAGGCGGCTATAGAGATAAGGAGTGGAGAAACAGAGATGCGTATATGTGGAGAGGGAATGCGAATGTGTTTATGCTTTTAGAGAGGGAGGGTTTTAAGGAGTAGGGTCGAAATTTTGAAGAGTGGGCGGGAAATCGGAATTTTTGGGGGGGCAAAAGTCAAGAAGATTTAAATGATTGTTTGAGATCCGGTAAAGTAAAAAAAATAACGATGATATTATATATTATTAATATTATAATGTCAGTAACTAATTATTAGAGAATTACTTACCAAAAAAAAAACTAATTATTAGAGAATATTACGTGGATAATGTGTCTTATCTTAATAACTATCTATAATCACTCCGTTGAATAACTATCATGTTAAAATAATATGATTTATTAATTTTATTTAATATTTTATTATTAATTAGTGATATTACATACCAAAAAATAATATCTCGGTACACTTAATATGTACTCTGGAAAAGTGAAAGTTAGGGACATAAGTGGTGTTTGGTTATAATGAAAATGGATAGATATATCCAGGTTTTGGATGGGTTGGATCCTGGGTAAATTATAGGGTTTTTGGTGTCTTATGACTTCGCAGGTGTATATATTCCCACTATATGGTACAAATGGTAAGTCCACTTATTTTTTATATTTTAAAATTATCCCTAACGATGTTAGTTTTGTCCAGTTATAAAAAGTCACATAGTTTGGATTATTGAGGTATATATGAAAACTCTCAATTGAGTTATATATGCAAACCGTTTATTAAATATTATGATAATTTACGGAAATTTTATATGAAAGTTATATATTCTTATAGTTATATTTGAGAAGTTTAATGTATGAATAAATTGTTAGTCTACTAAGTCAAAATCAAATCATAAAATTTTCTTAACAATAGTAATACATAATATAAGGAGGCTGAATAATGTCAACCGAGTTCAGTAACACAAATGTTAATATATAGTAACAAATGTTACTATATAATTGAAGTTACAATTAGAATCGTGTTACCAGTATAGTCGTGTTACTATATTAACACTAATATTACTATATTGAATTTTAGCATACAATTGCAAACTTGGAAACGTATATGATATAACATACACTTTAATATTCACAGTAAACATCAAAGTTTTATCCTCAATAACACGTCTAATTTTACAAAATACAAGACAATAGTTTATTTACAATAACAACAATTTTTGAATGATTTTAGTGAAAGTGCGATTTACAAATTGAAAATTTACAAAATGATAAGTAGTTACACACAATCGACAATTGAATGACGACACTTAACATCAATTGTAAACATCATGATATTGAAATTCTGAACTCCATTTTTCGGTTCATGTACAGTAAATATGAACTTTTTTTACAGTAACACAATCAAGGAATACTCAATTGTCTTGCGCAACAAAAAAATTAATAAAATCAAAATCTATAACACTTTAATTTATTATTAATGTATGAGTTCTCTTGAATCTTAGTTATAAGGTTAATGCCCACTTTGACAGAATTAAATCCTTAATTGTTATTACTTTTTTACCATGTTATTGTATTTGTTGAGTATGTTACTATTGTTATTTTTTAAATATTAATATTCAATATTAATATTTTGTCGATGAAGTCCAAAGTAAACTGTAATAATAAAATTGAAATTATATTTTATAGAATATAATGAGTTTGAAATTTGAAAATGAATAGTTTTTGGTAAATGTCGGTTTCTTGTTTTTCAGATAAGGAAACATCGTAGCTTTGAAGATTATAGTTGGATTTGGAGGCGATTATGAAAGAGATGTATATGACTGGTTATTGTGTCCATAAACATCGTTTATAACATTCTTACAGGAAAGGGTTATAATAGTAAAGTTGACAAAAAATGGACTTAAAACTAATTAAGTTTTCTTGACAGACTTATCTCCAAATAAGTCCATATAGGGGGACCAGCCTCCAAATTTTCCTTTTTGTTTTGGTTGCTTTGGATTTTGGAAAATCATTATGGATGGGCCCAACGTTCTTAGGTCTTCCTTTTTTTTTCTTCTTTTATTTTTTGAGTGTTTGGACTAATTTAAATGCATTTCGATTAATTTTTTTTTATCTGAATAAAGACAAATCATTCACGTTGAGACTAAGAAATTTATGAGATATAAATCAACCATAACTGATAGCTTGACTTCAAGAAAGTTGCCAAATTTTAAACTTAATTCTTCTTTTATAATTGTTACAAAATTGATTTAATTTGTCTTGCACTTTCAATTGTATACTAATAGACCGTTTGGTAGGAATGATAGAAAATAGAAAGAGTGGGAAGAAATACTAGTTCCTTCCATTTTGGTTGGTATGATAGATGGAAGTTGGAGGAATAAATTTTTTATTGTCTATTATGGAAGGAAATATGAAGGGAAAGAATAAATATAAAATTTTAATTTACTATTATGCCCTCATAAACAAATCTAATTTACAATTATTATTTATTACAAATAAAAAAATACATGTACGATTTATAATTTTCTTATAAAAAAAAATCTAAATAATGTGATCAAGTGGTGTCTTACCACGTATAAGTTATAAAATAGTACGTTTGATAATGTTTTGTTTTTGTGTTTATTTTTCTATTTGTTTTCAATGTGTTTTGTTTTGAATTTGTTATTAATTTAATAAAATAAAAAATATTAATTATTACCTGTGTTTGAAAGCACGATGTAATAAAAAATGGTCAAAATTAAACATATTTATATTCACATTTAAAATTAATTCTAAACATAGAGAATTGAGAAAACAATTTAAGCACCGGGTGTAAAAGGGGGTGAGCAGTGGTAATGATGATGGTAGGAGACAATGATGGTTTGTAGTGGGTGGTGACGACTATGGTGGTGGTGGCAGCTGTGGATGACAATGGTAATGATAGTTGGAAGTGGTAGTGGGGGGTGACGATGGTAGTTGTGGCAGTGGGGGGTAAAGATGGCAGTTGTGGCAGTGGTGGGTTCATGGTGGTGGGTGGTGACGATGGGTGGTGGTTGGCTACGATGAGTGCTTCTGAGCAATAATGTAATGTGTGGTGACGAATGACGTTGGTGATAGGTGTGGTAGGGGTGGGCGATAGTGGGTGGCGACAGCCATGGGCGATGATGGATGGTGGGGGAGTGGGTGATAGTTGTTGGCGACAATGGTGGGTGATGACGGGTGCTGGTAGGTTATGGTAGTGGGTGGTGATGGACAACAATGGTGGTGGTGGGTGCTAACAGTGGTAGTGGGATGATGGTAATAGTGGTAATAAATATAAGAATGCAATCACAATAGTGGTGGGAGGTGGCGATAGACGATGGTGGTAACAATCGGAGATAGGTGGTGGGGAAGTGGCGGTGGTGGTGGGGTGGCAACGTTAGCAGTGGTGGTTTTAATGGTTTGCAGGTTTAGGGTGGGGTGGTGGGGGTAAGGGTGATAGTGGGACAATGATAGTGGCGGTTGGGTGGCGACAGTGGTGGTGGTTGGGTGATAACCATGGTGGTGATGGCGACGGTGGTGGGGGTGGTAATGGCAGCAATGGTTGTGGTGGTGGGACGGTGGGGTGGTGGTAGTGGAGCGGCGATGGTGGTGGTGGTGGTGGGGCAATGGGGCTAGTGTTGTGGTGGTGGTGGGGCGATTCCAAACACTTTTTTTTCTAAAGTACTTATGAGAAGTTATAAGTCCTAGAAAGCAATTTTAAAAAGTCACATCAAACACACTCTTAGGGACTTATTTTCTTTATTAAATTTAGGGTGTTAATATTAATCGTCGGATTATTTATAAGCAAAATTTAAAGAGATTTCAACTACAAAAAAACAAAAGACATTTTTGTTTATATTTTAATATTAAAATTGTATTGTACTTTATTATATAAATGTTTAATTACAATTTTATATGCATGCTTCTAGCATTCTTCAAAACACTCATGCAAATTTCTTATCATCAATAATTTAATGAGGTATAGCGCAATATTTTTATTAAATTATAATAAATATTTTAACAGTGTCTCAAAGTTTTGACAAACCTTTCCCTGCCTCGACATGGCACCCCAAACCATGTTAATCTTTTGTTTGTGTTTGTACGTGTGATTATGAAGGAGAAATGGTGTTGTTTGTGAAAAATGGCAAAGAGATTATAAGATGATGGCAAGGAGGCAAGAGAGCTAAAGGAGTTGAAAGGGGAGAGAAGCGAGACACTAGTGTGTTGGGAAGCTGAAAATGATAAAACCTAGCATTTCTTATGTGTTTTTTTGTCTATAGAATAAAAGAGTATTAAGGAGGAAGAGTGCACTAGAATGATGATACATCGCAGAGAGTGATAGAGAGAGAGTATATGAATTTCAATTTCAATTTAGTGAATTAAAGGATAATAATTCTCAATTTAGGAAATTAATTTAAATCTACTTTCAAGGTCTTCAAGGTTTCTAACTTTCTATAACTGAACGGAATAATACTATTAAGGATATTTTTGAGATTTTAAAAAATAGTAGACTTAAGTACTTATTATTAAGATAAAAAAAGGATTTATCACCAAATAAGTTTCTTTGACGAACTCAAATCATTATAAATTCATTAAAAATGACTCAACCCAAGTTTTACTAATAAAATCAGTCTTACTAAATTCTCTAGCTTTTTACAATTGATCAAATAAATCATCAATACCATGTAAAACATATTTACTGCTTGTTGCTACCTTATTCAGTCAGCAGTAATCGACATACAATTTCACAATCCCATAATTTTCTTACAAATACAACACAAGCACCTCACGACGAATTACTTGGTTGAATAAATCTTTGGTCCGATATATTTTCAATTGAATTCAAAATTTCTCTTGCTCAGCAAGAACCATGCTATATTAAATAATAAATAAAAGTGAAATACTCAAAAACTATTAACACATAAACTCTACCTCTCTTTAATGATAGTTTAGGCAACCCTTATTAGAATACATCAGAAAAATACTCGAACCACAAAAATATATCTCAACTGTATCATTTCTTCTTTAGTG